CACTGTTGCTGCAGTCCTAGCAGGGGTGCCCAAACTCGGTCCTGGAGGGCCGGGGAGCAGGTTTTGTGTGAATGGGCCTAGAGCAGGGGTGCTCAAACATGGTCCTGGAGGGCCGGTGTCCTGCAGAGTTTAGCTCCAACTTGCCTCAACACACCTGCCTTCAAGTTTCTAGTATGCCTAGTAAGAGCTTGATTAGCTGGTTCAGGTGTGTTTAATTGGGGTTGGAGCTAAACTCTTCAGGACACCGGCCCTCCAGGACCGAGTTTGGGCACCCCTGTACTAGAGCAACTAGATTTCAACAAGACTTGCTTCCACATTCTAATTTATTCTGGCCAGTATTTGCCGACTTGGACTAGAAGGCTTGTAAAATGACCAAACCCATTTCCTTTTTTAATATTGATGTTTACAGGTGGGTAAATCTGAAATCAGTCATACATGCCACAGTAATAGACTGGCATTCAATGAACTGTAAAGTAATACACTGATTATTTCAAAGCAAACAGATTGGATTACAGAGTTAGACTTTTGATGTCTTGTTTATGTGCGACTAATGAGCTCTCACACATCGACTGAATTTACATTGCTTTCCAATTATTTGTGATTTACTGGAAATTAATTTTTAAGAAATATTTAATAGTGATTTCACTCGAAAAAGAACATTTCTAGTTGAATACTTATGATAAAACTAAGTACACACCTACTGTTCAAAATAAAAAAAATTTCAAAGAAATTAATACTTTTATTCAGCAAGGATGCATTAAATGGATTAAAAGTGACAGTAAAGACATTTATAATGTTACAGAAGATTTCTATTTCAAATAAAGGCTGTTCTTACTATTAATCAAAGAATCCTGGAAAAATGTATCATTGTTTCCACAAAAATATTAAACCGTTTTCAATAATGATAACAATAAGAAATGTTTCTTGAGCACCAAATCAGCATATTTGTGACAATGAAGACTGCCGTAATGATGCCGAAAATTCAGTTTTGTCATCACAGGAATAAATTACATTTTAAAATATATTCAAATAGAAAAGGGTTATTTTAAATTGTAATAATATTTCATATTACTGTCTTTCTGATCAAATAAATAGACTTCTTTCAAAAACATTACAAAATATTTCCAACTACAAACTTTTGAATGGTAGTGTAATTAAAAAATATATGTAGAAATGAGAATTTTCCAAAAGACATGAACATTTATTTTGTTCATATATATGTGTATTTCAGTGAGAAATGTATTTCCATGCGCATGGGAGCCCTGTAATAACTGCCTCAAACATTAGCTGCGTCCCAAATGACACACTATACACTATGCACTTATTTATGCATTTAGCAGACGCTTTTATCCAAAAGCGACTTACAGTGCATTCAGGCTATACATGTTTTACCAGTATGTGTGTTATAAAAAAGACAAAAGAACAATGAAATATTCATTTGCATGAACAGTTATTTAGAATTACAATTAATTAGTATTAGCAACTTTGTGCTCCACAGAAGCATTGTTCTTCACACAAAAACTTCATTCACAACTGATTTATACAAAAGAGTTTGATGTTAGCATTTTGCTAAGCTAACAGCACTCTAATAGGCATAAAACATATACTGTAGCATACAAATATTAGGTAACAGTCAATTTTTTAACATTTAACATTTGATGCTGAGCGAAAACAACAGTTTATATTAGCATGATTCTAGTTTAGCATACTCTAGTGATCTTAAAAATGCACAGATAAATATCACGTAAAACAGTTTTCATTAGATTGAAATCCTGACTCAAGTGATTCCAACAGTTTAATGTTAACTTAGCACACTCTAGTTAGCTTACAAATGCTAAAAATTGCAGAAAAATTAAGCAAATAGTCCTTTTTTATTAGGTTGAAATCTCGATTCAATTTATTCCAAAAGAGTTTAATAGCTGCGTCCCAAATGACACACTATACACTATGCACTTATACACTATGTACTTATGCACTATGTACTCAATCATGTAGTGTATTAATTATATATGGTTATTTTGTCATTCATAATCTGAGTCTGGTAGCCCCTCCCCCTTCGCTACGTAATTAAAGGGTTAGTTCACCCAAAAATGAAAATTCTGTCATTAATTACTCACCCTCGTGTTGTTCCAAACCCGTAAGACCTTCGTTCATCTTCGGAACACAATTTAAGATATTTTTGATGAAATCTGA